TTCTATGATTCTATGATTCTGCCCTTAGCGCTTCCAGCTCAGTTCTCCATACCACCGCATCTGCGGAATCACAACTTCAATAGCGTAAGGAGTTTGTGGAATCACAACTTCATTTAAAAAGTTGGGTGAACGATGACTGGCAAGAAACCAGTAGTTAAGAATGGTTCATGATCCAAAACGCTTGGGAAGCACCAGCATAATTAGCAAGCTGTGGGCATGCGTGCAGGCTTCTCTAGTCTAGTTATTTCTATCAGCGGCATGAAAATCATCTGTCCTCCAGATCAGAGCATGGTTGGTCCCAAGCCTGCAGAAGATACATGTGAAAAAGTGGCTATTTGTATAAAATGAGCATATTGTGGAGTAATTATTGGCACTGGGAAAACCTTGTAATTAGAAACAAGTGGGCGTCCTTTGTTTGTAAACAAATTGCATTTTGGTTCATCAGAGATGCTCCTTTAAGAACAAATTACAGCAGATGCTGCTTGTGTTTCCAGTGACTGAAAGGCCCCACCTGAATAAACGACACAAGGGTCACAACTGTATTTAACCCAGCACTTTCCGGGACAGGAATCCTGTTAGCAGGGGCTGCGACCACGCTTGCAGAGCACAGTGCCGCAGGGGGCTGCTAATCCATTAGACAACCTTCTCCTGGAGGTCCCGGTGCAGCTCCCGACAGGTTCAGGAAGGGTGTGCAGCTGCTGCCACCCACTACAAGGCTGTACGTGTTCCTGCCTCCAATTGCTCCCAGTTCTCCATGTCACCACTAGGTTGAATCCTCCAGGAGTACAAACTGTGCATTTGCATTACAAGACCTCTCAAACAGGATTTTCCTTTGAAAACAGCAAAGGAAACAGCCTACAGTGATGACAAAACTCCGTGCTACAAGTATCCATGTACTGGCAAAACCCATTTTCCTGCTATGTGCACGCGCCCACGCAGACTAAACAAACATCAGAAAGCAAACCGGAATACTCTGCTTGCATCTCACATGAAAGATTTCCTATGTGGGACCCATTTATGGTGGACGGTTCACAACAGGAGATCAGGGGCAGTGTCACAATATTGTTTGTTTTAAAAATGTCTGGGTTGACAAGATGGCGGGTTTTTAAACTGATGTTTATCTCTGTGTGAAGGTCAACATCCTTTTTGGATCTTGTTCTATTTTCTGTTTGTTAGCCATTAAGAGTTTGGGGTTTTTTTTGTTTTGTTTTGGGTGTTTGGGGTTTTTTTTCCCTGTTTCTAAATCAAGGGTTATTTTTTAAATAATACAGCAGAGCAAAAAAAAGAAATAAAACCACCCAAAAAAAAAAAAAAAGAGAAAATTAAGATTAAGAATGGTATAAACTCCACCACAAACATGGTACAAACACCACCACCTACTGTCCAAAGCAGGATGCTAAATCCCTGGTACATATTTAACTGAAAATTCAGAAAAAGGACAGCAGCTTGAACTGGGACAGGAGGTAAAAGCACTTGCTGCAGAGCAGCATACGGCCCACAGCAGCCACTGGATTCGTTATGGCTATAGTTAAGCTGCAGGTTAAAGCAGAGTTAAGTTGCTCTGTCCCAGGCTATAGTTCTGCATTCATGGCAGCCACCACAGTCTGAGCCTTCTGATCACCAAAGGTGCTTCATGTCGCTATTTGCGGCGTCGCCTCACGTCAAAAGTCAAAACAAAAACGTGCAGGTCCACTTGCTGCATCTGGGTGGATGATCATTTTGAATGGATTAGGAGATGGCGATAGGGGCTTTTCATATGGCAGCACAGCAACAGTCACTTGTAAGTCACCTGTCTGAAAGATCGTTCCCTTTCACAGACACGTCTGCATAATGCAATTATTAACTTCTCTGTGAAACCTTTAACAGGATTTTTTTTTCCTTTTTTTGAGGGCATGAGTGCTTAAAAAGTGCAACTATTAAGGAACACTCTCACCTTTGCTTAGGATCTTTCTTCAGCAAACCTGACAAGAGAGATTTTGCTTCAGGTGACAAAGTGCGTGGAAATCTAATCTCCTCCATAAGGATGAGTTCAAAGAGCTTTTCGTGGTCCTGATTGTAGAAGGGCAGCCGGCCACACATCATTTCGTACATCACAACTCCTAAACCCCACCAGTCCACCGCACGGCCATAGTCATTATCTTCCAGCACCTGCAGAAAGGTAAGGAAAGGGTTTTAGAAGGCATTCCCAAACCAGGCACGAACATGGAACTCGAGGCAAGTTCATCTTTTCATGTGTCACAGCTGAATATGCCAGTGGAGGATTTGCAGAAGACCCATTTGAAAGGAACTGGCAATCTATGCTCACCGCGCTAGGTGAGCAGGAGGGGGAAAGGAGGCAGCGGGTACGTTATAGCAGCTTCCTTCTCTTCTTCCTCCCACCCTTCCTCACATTATGGTCACAACCACTGAAAGCCCAAAGGCTGAGAACTGTTCTCACGTTACAGAGCCAACTGTTAAATTCTCACTTATTCATCACAAACTGTTCCAAACAGGATCCAAGTTTTTTTAGAAAAACCCCAAACCACCGAAGAGCCAGGATGGGGAGAAGAGAGAAGACTGTCAACTGTCAACCTGTTACTTCACAAGCAACAAGCCAAACTTCCCCATGTCTTCACGTCAACGTGCACCCCCCCCAGAGTGGTTCTGCACACCCTAGGAGGCCACCCACTAATACTAAATGACTAATCTACATTAAACACTAAGAGCCAGAACACCACTCCTAACATTTGACCAGCTGTAAGGCCGTAGAACATCAGCCAAATTGTCTGGAAACATTTCCCTTCCTCTCCCCTGCCCCCCTCCAAAGGGACTTTCTCACTAACTCCGGCTCTTCTTCCTCTGCTTAGAGGGCTGCAAACCCAGGAATTGTTGGCGGGGTGCACTTCTGTGGCCTCACAGCGGCAGGAGCCCAGCACAGATCGTTTTGCCCTTCCCTGGGTGCTTCTACCTAACAAAGTCGCGGCTGGTGCGGGTGCTCGGGACTCCGGCAGCGCTCCCCAGCTTGCTGTCGCAGTGCGCTTCTGATCTTCTGTGCTCAGGGCCGCTGAAGGGAGCAGGGAGTGTTTTGGGGCTCGTGGACTGGATGTTACGAGGGCTTCTCTAGACTCTGTGTCTCCTACGCAGTTGTCTGTAGCTGACACCAACAGTCTCATGTTCCAACCCTGTCCTCAGGTTTTAGTTGTCATCTTGACTCTTCTCACAGGTCTGCACTGAGGTGCTTACTCTTGCTGAGAGCGCAAACCACGACCGCACCACCATCGTGTTTTCTTGTTGCGTGGTGTCTGTGTGAGCTTTACATTGCTACCATTCAGAATTCTTTACACTCAAAAGGGTGAAAGAGCCAAACGAAGTCGATGAAAGTTTAACGAAAGCAGGATCTGAAACTCTTACAAACCCTGATGAGGATGGTGCATACAGAACAGTAGCCGAGACACTCCACGTAACAACTGTTTGCACTCTGCCCTTCTTTATTCACTAATTATTCCCCTTAATTGTCTGGACAAGGGAAAGGGCCTGCAGTAAAAATCAAAAGGCTGCCAGGTATTAGATTACCCCACGTTGGTCTATTTACAGCATCCCTGCCGTATGATTCACACCAAACGACAGCTGGCTGTGCAGCTGCCCCGTCTATGTATACGGCCGGCCCACTGTATACGGCCGGCACAGCTGCCGGCCGGACAGGATTCCAGGAGCCGGCCCCGTCCTTCCCGAGGCATCGCGACCCTTCAGCTCACAGGAGATAGTGTGACAACACGGTTCCCGCTCTCTGAGTCACCCCGTCCAGTAAGCGCTTCCTGTTCACGCTGCTCTACACTTGGGTTACCCAAAATAAAACGGTCATGGGGCCTCCAATTTTTACTTTTGTTACTTCAACGGCTTCAGGCAATGCGATAGGAGGGGACTGAAAGAAAAGCTAAACCAGAGGCCTTTGTTGCGTATGTAATAAATGCTGCAGGTGCTTTCCAAACGCAGCAAACACTTCAAGTAGTACTTCAGTAAGCGTATTAATACTCAACTATAATGTAGATTACTAACTGCAACTCCTGCCTTCACCTCCATTAATTCCAAACAGAATATAAAATGCTTATTTCTTCAAAGTTCTTGATCACAAGCAGCATACACTTGTGTCTGTGATTGCACAAAACAGGGCAATCGTGTTAGTATCAAAAAACCCCTGTAACAAAAATGTATTGCACTCATCCATGATTTATTGCAACACGCAGGATAGCTGGGGAAGGTGCTTTCACTTAAACTAAAGGATCATCATTTCCTAACAAGCAGCTTTAGGCTGTTGTGAGATGGAATTGGAGAGAGCAGGCACAACAGCTGTAAACATCACAACCATCAGTGCATCTGACACATCAAAGCTGACATGGCTCAGTCACTGTCATCCATGCATGAGATTCCAGTATGAACCTAAAACCGACGCTGCAACAACTGTACCAACACGCCGCTACGCTGGACTCCGGTTACAAATGCAGACAAGAAGATGGAGACCCCTGCTTCTAAGGGTGTATGACCTTAAACGGACGCAGCATCACTCGCACACGATTTCCAGAACTTTTGCACGCTATCGACCAGACGACAAGAGCCTCCTGAATGTAACACTCCAACTCACAGATGGGGTTTGTAAGTAAGGGGGAGAGCTGGGATAATCAAAAGGATTTGTCGTTCAGGGCTGTGGATGAGCCAACTCATCATAAATATTAAAAAGAAAAATAATAGCAAATAATGTAACGGGAAGAACCACGTTAACGCTGGCATGAGGAATCCCCACATTACAACTCAGGAAAAAATAGACCCAAACTAATAAATGTTTTTTGTCTCCTCATAAAATCCTTGATGAGAAACTGACATTCAGCAATTGATTTTAAAGAGGGAAGCTAAAATAAAAGCCATGTTTATGAATAATAAACACACTGTCATGCTGCTAATTACTCCTTGCATCAGTAAATCTGAAATTGTGGTGCACGGACCCCAATTTAGATTCACTGAAGACTTCTGGTGACCCATGGAGAGCTGGCAGCTATCATGAGACTGGCTCCACCTCCTTGCTGCAAGCTACTTCGACAGGTGCCCACGTTCTTCATTATTACGAAGACACTGGAGGCCCTTGACAGCAGCTGGGAGTTAAAAAACCAACCCAAGGCCCAAACAAAAGCCACGAGCATGCTGCCACGGCTATGCAAGCAGAGGGCACAAAAGCACTGATCAGCAACAGACATCGGCTCTCAGTAGAAATCTCCTCCTCCACTGTGGTTCTCCGTACTTCTGTGTACTTCAGCTCAAGAAAGGTTTGCAGTGCCCAAGTCTCCCACCTCAGAGAAAGGCTACAGCCTGGCTGTGCCAACAATACGTAGTCTGCCGGCAGCCCAAGACTTGCTTCTGCCTGTGCTCCGCGCTGGATGGAAGCCTTAATGCCACGGGTAGCCAAGCACCCGCTGGAAGGCAGTCAGCCCTTCTGCAAGGCACACCGCATCACTAATACAGCGAGTCTGCTTCCAGACAGCTCGGAGCGTGGGCAGGGAGAACTAGCGTCTGCCTGCAACATACCGTGTATACACACATGCTCTATCACACCATTTCACTTTTGATCTGCCCCTAAGTAACTCACAGCTGTAACACCACCTGTGTTGCACAACTCTCACAAGGAGTGTTTCAAGGATGAAAGTTCCAAGCACACATTTGCATTTTACACTTTAAAAAGGCAGAAAATCCCCAAAACATGCAGTTTGGGGCCTGAGATTCCCTGGCCTGGATTTACTTCCTCTGAAACTGGCAAGTTCAAATTAACGCCGAGAAACATCTCGTGCTCTAACAGTCACAAAGCAGTCAGCACTTGTATTGTGTACCATGCTAAATATTGCAGGAAAAGCTTGGTCTGTCCTGTTTCTGAAAACACGTCACCTTATACCATCTTCAAAATAATTTTCCTTCCTAAGCAAAGTCCTGTTGATAGCTTTCAAACAGGCCAACGCACAGCAAACAAATTACAAAACAATCACCAACCCATCAAGTAGTAATTGAAGTGATTTAAAGGTGTTTTTTTAAAATCAGATTTCTGATACAAGCAGCAAGCACTGTTCCAGTAAAACATGAATATTCCCTAAAGTGGAAGGCAAATACCACCCTGCCCCAAAATTATCACCTATCTTTATACTGAAGGTATCTTCATGCTAAAGATATGTTCCAGAACATGATGAGTGAAAGATCCTCAGTACATGCTGTTATGTAACAGCAGTTACTGTATGAACACGTTATGGCCCAGGACTTACTCTGTATCGCCACTGCTGTCACAGATGGCATTTAAGAAGATAATTAATAGCCAGCATAAACATACCTCTGGTGCAAGGTACTCTGGAGTGCCACAGAAAGTCTTCATTGTTGCTCCATCCTTGATGCCTTCTTTACATAGTCCAAAATCTGTTATTTTTATGTGTCCATCTTTATCCAGCATAAGATTTTCCAACTGAGAAGAAGAAAATCCAAATGAATTACGCCACTACATAAAACATACACAGCTCCTGAGCACGTCAGTGAAAGGCGTGAATTGCTGCACATGAGTTTTCAACCAGGTTCTCACTGGGGTCAGAACCACAGTAGCGTGATGTAAATACACATTTATATCACTTTCCTTAGTTCTTTAGGGAATGTTAGGTAACCAATTTGCAATTTTTGGGTAACCAATATTATATACAGGAAGAATGCAGAATGTAGACATAATTACGCTTCTACGACATTAACACCAGCAACACTAATTCTTTTAAAAACCCATTAGGTATTTCCTCCCCCCCACCCCCTGCCAACTTCATCCCTGCTTTTACTCTAAGTGATCTTATGAAATATTCTGTACCAGTAAAGAATAGCAAATGAAACAAAACAGTCAAATGCAAGGCTAAGGAACCACTTCCACAGAGATCCTTGACATCTGCGTCACTTTATACGTTTACTCAGAACACAGTATTCAACGTAGGCTGTGCCACTCATTTTTGAGAAAGCCATCCAAATTTCAGCACAGTTTCCCGTGTATGAAATGAAGTGCACTTTCAAAAGAATCATGGTAATATGACAGACAAAATCCCAAAATGGCATTGACGTAGCCTGAAAACGTTACACTGCATGCTTCATTTTTGATTGCTCCTAAATGAACTACCAGTATCTCCTCATCCCCTCTTGAAAGCATTTTTTCCCCTGAGAAGTGTTACTGTTGCATCTTCCTCAGGAATGTCCCAGATTTGTTTGCCCTGAGTTTTCTTGTTTGGTGGTTGTTTTTTTTCTTTCCCCTTCTCTGCTCACCAAGCAAATGAGCAACTTGAAGCTTATCCCATTTTCTAACTGCAAGCAGGTACCAGGAAGATAGTGCTCCACAGCACACTGTGAGGAAACACAACATCCACACAGTATGAATTTGCATCTATCTGATAAGACCTGGAATAAAGATCCCAGGATTATGTTCCACCATGCAGAAGGGCCACTAAGGTTTCTCTCAGAACACAGGCAGACAAGTGAAAATGCAACCCATGTAGCTCAGTACCCCTTCATATTCTCTGAAACGCTGCCAGGGTCCTGATAAATGCATTATACAACCTCTTATAGAAGTGTTTAGACATCCTGTAAAGTCAGGTCCAACAGCTGCAGTAACTGTTATGTTAAAGTCCAGTCAGCAAAGGCTTTCTTACAGACCAGACCCATTTGCGTTTGTGACTAACAAACAAATCCAAAACCAAAGAGCCTATGAAATTATTTTTCTACGTACCTTCAAATCCCTATACACCACATTCTTCTCTGAATGCAGGTAATCCAGTGCTGAAACAATCTCAGCTCCATAAAACCGAGCCCGGTCTTCAGAAAAGACACGCTCTCTTGACAGATGGAAAAACAGCTACAAGGACAATAACATGTTACCTTCAGATTGCAAATTTCTGAGTTATGTCTTGCACTTGGCAGGCCATCCTGCTCAAAATGCAGTATTACCTAAGAGAAAACCCCTTCCCATCCTCCCCCAGCTGTGTTCCCAAATGTGTTCAATTAAACAGCTAGACAATTACCTCTCATGTTCACAGATGCACACTGATAACCAGTTTGGGTGCTGCAAATTCTTGTATGTACAGAAAATTATGACAGCCCATTTTGATTGAACTACAATTACATACTACAACTACAGCTTAATGCATGATTGAGACACATGTTAATATTCCAATTTTTCCTTCCTGACTGTCGAGCAGTAGTTTGCTGCTTCTGGTTCTCTCTGAAGTAATGTGTGCCCACAATATTCATTAAAAAGGGTTAAAAGTTGGCTGAAGAGCAACTAGAAAGCAACCCTGCCTTCTTGAATTACTAGATGTCAGACTACAATACGTTGATGTCATGTAAAACATGAACCTACACCCAAAACCTATTATCTAAAAATGGAGTTAAGAAAATTAAGGGTCTTTATTCCATGTATTAAACAGAGCTGTTTGCAGGTTTAAATAACTGGGACAACTTGCATTAATTAGAATTGCAAACATGGACCTTAGCTAAATAATGTCAAGCAGAATTCATAGTAGTACAGAAAAATCCTAAAGCATTGAACATTATTACAGTCCCCTTACCTCCCCTCCATTAGCATACTCCATAACAAAACACAAGCGATCGTGTGTCTGAAAGGAATACTTTAAGGCCTGAAAGAGATTTAAATCAAAACTTAGAAGAGGGATCACACTGACAGTTATAAAAGCATTTTTAATAGATTTTCAGACACATAGATATGTGGACTTTTTGTACTTGGATCTTACACAATACTTAGACTTCCCTCTTGCAGCTGAGGACTGATCCACTGCCAACTTACTTCATTAAATAAATTTAATAAAACATTAAAACAATCCCTTGCAGAACAAAGCCCTGGCCCAGTAACAGTGATACGAAATGCAGCAAGAGTGACTCTGAACTTTCCTCCCCGGGCCACAAGCTCCCACAGTTTCATATCACAGACAAGAGGTCACAACCAAACCCCCAAGCACAAGGTTTTACCGTGCTGGCTACAAGCCCTCTTACATGAAACACGTATATATTCACGCACATCAGCCCCCTGGTCCCTGCAACTGCTCCCTGTTGACAGCCTGCCAGAGGATTAAGCAATGCTGTCAATATCAATTTGCAAGCAATTCACAAAAACAGACCGGATGGAGGGTGTGTTGAAGCATCACAAGGTGCCTTTGTACAGTCCTGTCACATGTATTCCTGTGGCGAGAGTAACATCGACTTGTTCGCCACAGTCTTAATTTTCTTGGTCATAACCCAGTCTTGTAGCTGACTTCGCAAGACAGCCCTTGCTTTAGATATTTGGGTTTATGAAAGCATTAAAAAGAAAACACCGCATATGCTATCATCATCTTCATTACTAGGGGTGGCATTTATAAACCCGTCATATTTTTGCAGAGAGAGGGAGGGTCAGGTTTTAGACATGTCAACACACATTTAAGGATTATACCCAATACAGCTAGTATTTACTTCCAGAGGCCACGCTCAGAAGTCTAAATTCCAGTTAAGCCCTCATGTACCTGGACAAAGGAAACAACCGGGATCCTACACAGGTCTCGGAGTGCTTAAACGGCTGGAACAACCCAGAGCCAACTTGTAATAAATACAGGAAACAGAGTCTTGAGGTGGAACTTCAGTATCTGAACTCAACCCAGAGAGCCTGCTGGCGCTTGAGATCTGAGAGTATGCTTTGCTTGTACAGCTAAGCCAATCCAAAAGGAAAGCGGTGGATAAAGCACAGTCCTGCTCTTCCCTGTCCCACCCCACCACCACTATCCTTTGGCTGGCATTACCAATGCTCTGTTTCTATAGTGAGCTGCTTCTGGGAGCTTAAAAAAAACCCACCCAAACAACAAAGAAAGGCAAAATTGAAGGGTTTTTTCCCCAGTGTATCTTCCTGAACTTGTATGTCACAAGATCAGGGTCACCGTGATCTCTGCTACAAAGGGTAGACCAAGTATTTGGAGGACAAGGAAAAGAGATACTTCTCTCAGAGATAGCAATCCATTACATGAGTGAGCCATAAAGTCAAACCACACCCTGAAACACTGTCTTCAAGAGGTACTGAGGACCTGCTCTGCAAGAATCAGAAGACTTAAAAAAGCATTTTAATTTGTGCTTCCCAGAAATGGAAGGGTACAGAAATACACAGCTGCTCTGAAAACATGTCTCAGATGTATTATATAAATAACAAAATACAAGGAATGTCTTGGTTGTCAAGACATCAAGCTACGCTCAGCGGAGGGAGAAACGCTTACTGTCAAGAATGGATGCCGCGAGTTCTGTAAAACGCGGTTTTCGGTCAGCGTGTGCGCTACTTCATCCTGGAACACAAGCAGAAGGAAATTGGCCAAGTGATTCCCCAGATGATGGATCCATTTCAAACACTAACGGAGAAGTTGTTTACAAGTACTCAGAGAATCCTTGGTATGACTTTCCCAAAGGCTGTATCTAGGGTGAACCACATTTTTCAAGTTTCCCACCTACTCACCTTTGCTACAATAACTTCCTTCTTCAGAATTTTCATGGCATAATACCGTCCGGTTGCTTTTTCTTTAACTAAAATGACCTTTCCAAAAGTGCCTTTTCCCAGTAGTTTTAGGTATTCAAACTCATTCATGGTCTGTTAATGATACAGATAAACAAGAACTGAATTACATGAACTAACAACATGTATACCAATCTCAGACTAGAATTTCTCATTAGCGTCAGAACACATTGCATATGGGGTTTTTTAATCCTTTGGCTTAGTAGAATTCAGAGGCAGAAATGCTTCTTCCATAAAAATGAGTATCAGTACACTCCCAAAGATAATCAAACCAACTGTTCAGGGAAAACCATAAGCTTTCAATTAACAGAACATTTTTTCATGTGACTCAACTGTGCAAATACCACTCAACATATTATTAATCCATAGACATTTTGATCACTTTGTCAGTGCAGACATTCACTAAAAGGCACATGTTGCTCTGACTCCAGGGACTAAACCATACCTTCTTTTCTGATGTTCCCCACCTCTCTAGGGGACCAGCTTTCTTGTGCTTCATTGAACAGCACCAAAACAACTTCCTCATGGATTAGCCATTCGCTCTTCTTTCTTTTGCCATTAGGAAAGGTGCTGGGGAAGATCAGAATCTATCGCAGGCTGAGGATAGTCTGCACTGTCACATCAATGACCATGACCAACATGGTAATAGTAAGACTTACACAGCCAAAGGCTACTGCAGCCTCGGTTGGGGAAAAATTTAAGATGCTCTCAACAGCAAACTTCCTCCATATTCTTCCCTAGAGCTCCCTACGAAGCTCCTTCTGCTAAGTGTTCAATACAGTTGATGCCAGGATGCCAATAGTAACCTTGGTTATCCTCACTGCAGCCACTGCAGCGGCTGTCTGGGAGTTTGCCTAAACCCTTAATCCAGAGCAAATAAACCACTGGACCCACCCTAAATCCCGCAAGTCTACTGCAATATCTTTGCACCAGCCTGCAAAGAGCTTGCACAGTCCCACGGTCCAGCAGAAGCTATGAGTTCAGGCTCTGTACCACAGGAAGGCAGGCAACCCACATCCAGACCTGAGCTGGCCTTGAAAGCCATCCAGTAAGGACATCTGAACTCAGAGCTCCGGTGGACCCAGACAGACTTTGCCTGGTACCTGCTCAGCTCAGACAACTGTTTCCTCCAGAAGCTGCATCTACAACCAACTGCGTAATTGTTGTGGGCAAAGGTGTATCTTGATGGCTATTCCTTGTCTGTGTTCAAGAAGACCTAATAGTTACTTCTGCTATGCTCACTTACCACTTTGTGTTTTGGCTTTGTCATAGAAACTTCCATTTCTTCAGCACCTGAATTATCACTGGGAGAGCCAGATCTGAAATCCATCATCTCTTCCTCTTGTTTCTTGAGGCTGTCTGCTACTGTTTGGATGGCTTTTGTCCATTCTTCCCTGGCGAAATACAAGCGAAGTCATTTGTTATTTGTGACTTTAGATTGCTGTCTGCCATGGCAAGGGTCACCAAGGAATCCAGAGCAACAAATACTCTCTGATGAATCACTGCAACATACAATGAACTATGTGCATTTTCAAGCACTGTAAAAATGCATTTTAAGAGCACTTTTAACATATATCTTCATTAATCATACTAGAAACCAGAGGTAACTGAAGTCTGGATGCAATATAAGGCTTTTCATACAACCGGATTTCTAATCCGCATTCAGTCAGCAGCTCTGAGATACAACCTGGTGATCCAGAGACTTACATAACAAAACCAGACTTGCCAAAACCAAAGAGGCTCCCATGCAGCACACAGCAATTAAACACAGCTTCTCCATTCCTATGGTGCACTGAAACACTTGCATCCAACTGCTGAGCGCACTATGCCACCTCTTTGCACACATGTCCCAAATTTTAATGCCAAGAGGTGTTCTAGGAGAAGGTATTACAACCCAGGATACTTAAGTTACTCCTCTGTTGTGAAGATGATGACAGAAGTACAGCAATTCCTGTGTAAAGTTTAGCAGAATGTCAGCAAAAGCAGCGATACTTTATCTTGGCCACAGGTTTTGGTTACAATAAATTTTCCACAGCTGTTTCAGCAGTGGGTGCTCCAACACTGACCTCCTCGACTCCTGTGGACACCACTTCCACCCCAGTGTCCTTCGGAAAATTTCACACCATTGGGAACTACTGAAGTGGAAGTTCTTCCCTTCATTTCACTACAAATTTACTGAAGATAAAGCATACAACTCATAAGGGCTTACAGGGTTTTGGGATGGGCGTTAAGTCATAGAGGAGCTGAAGACACTGAAGACAGTGGGCTATGTGAATTTACCATGGTTTACTAGCTTTCATACCTGTAAGGAATGGGATGTATTTTTTGGGCACTGGCTACACTCTTTACCCAGGTAAAATACTTTGCTACTACAGCAGGAACAGAAGTAGCCACTGCTGAACAACTCCACGACAATCACAAACACATTCCTGTATTTACTAGTCATTTTTCATATTCAGAACTATTACAAAAAGAACTTTTTCTTCTGTATTTTTATCTGTCCATCTCTCTCACAAAATAAATGTTGGTTTTAAAGACACAGAGAAAGCTAAAGGCATATCTACCTTTCTGTTTCTTTCAAGATTTGTTACTGACTTAGTGGAAGTGCTGGCCCTCCTGAGGTGAGTATCTTTGATTTCTGGGAGACCAGAATTTCACCCTCAGCTTTTAGGTCTCAAGCATACACAACAGAGATGACCAACACTGCGAGCCCTGAAGTGTCACAAAGCTGACTTAATTGGCTAGGAGGGAACAAACAAGGCTGAAATACAATCTTCCCCCAAGTGGAAACTCTTATTCACTCCCTTTAGGGTCACTGACCACAAAGCTACTAAAAGAAACAAGGACCAGTTTATTTTAATTTGCTTTTAATTTGATTTCACCTTCTTCTGATCATTGTCATAGAATCAAAAGCAACAAACAGGAACCATTCTTTAAATCTGTGCACAAAGAGGCTACTAAAGAAAAAGGCAAAGAATGTTAGGTAGAATTTGCTGATCTTAAAAATAAACATGTGCCAGTAGCGCATCTGGGGAGGACAAGGGTTTTAAAACACTCCTTCCCCATGGGCAATGATATTGGAATAATTTAAGTTCAGTTCCTGAAGAGCAAGTAAATATTTAAATACTCTGTAGCTGTAGAATAGCTGTGCTGGAAAACTGTTCTCTCAGGAGGTAGGAGATCGATTCTCCAATGATGAGAGCACAGGATGCATGCTCTTAGCTTTGCTTCCTAACAGCTGAAACAGGAATCTGCACCTGCAGCAGATAACTATCACCTTTATTATCTCATTTACATAACACATTAGCAATCAGCAATGATACAACTTTTTTCCTTTAAAAACAAGGTGTCTAAAGAGACTTTAAAAGGTCAGCAATTTGGTACAACTCAACTCGGCCCAAATCACCATTTCACATATGCTCATCCTTCCAGAAACTCCCAGGTCAGAAACACTTCATTTCACATACCACAATATTTCCAGTGAGAAATGAACCCTGGGTTTCCAGAAATAGCTACCCATGTACACACCTGCACCTGTCCATTTTGCGTATCCAACCTAGCAACATTTCATTTACAAATATGAAAAAACCCACTCTCTGCAACCCCCTTTAAGGTGTCTTTCATACTGGAACGTGCACTGACACCGAGGCACTCAAAAATCCTTTGTCACTTTCCACTCTAGACGTACATCATCTGATAAATAAGAGCTTCAGCGAAGGACTCGCTATTAATGCTGAACACTTGCATCTGCTTTTGCGAGTAGTTTATGTATTAAATATGAATGAAACATACCGCTCCTCTGGAGTCTCCACATGAAATGTTCTTTCAATTACTGTGGTCCACTGGAGGCATCTAATGATAAATGTGTTTGGTTTAGGTCGTTCTGTCTTCATCAGCTGGCACTCTACCACAATCAAGGAAGAGAGAGTCATGGTACATAAGCAGGTTTAAATAATCATTTGTCTTTATTCTTATCTAGCAAACTGTTGCAATTAATCAGCCATAGAAATCTCTGCAAGTACTTCTTTACGAGACTTGAGACAATCTACTGTGTTGATGAAACCAATAAATAGCTTGGGAGATAGTCATCTAAGCAGCACCGAAATCAAATTCTGCACAGACAGGCTCCACGTTTGGTCTGCCCAGAGAGGTAGTAGAAATGCGATGTGATGACACAGAAGCCGTTCAGACTCAGGTCCTACACTCCAAAGGTCATCCCGAGCAGAGCACATGGATAAAGTCAGCTGATAATGCAGCAATTACATCCACTGAAACTAAAGCCAAGCCCCCACGTTCCCTCCCTTTGACTTTCCCAACATAAACCCATGCCCTTGGCTTTCAAGGAGTTGCTAGACAGCATGTTTGATTATTTTGCTGCGACCTGATAAAGATCAGACTCAGCATTTCCAGTGCTCAAACACTAGAGGGAACATCAAACTGCAGAGGCACCCCAAAGACCCCGTCCAAGGCCTTCCGGACAGCTGTTGCGGTCGGATGCTGTGCGGACACGCAGCTAACAGCTTCCGTCACCGCCAGCGTTTAAGCCCAACCTCTGAAGCCTACAGAAGTGCGGCTCCATGCAAAAACACCGCTTCCTTCATAAGAAATGAGCATTAGTTTATTTCTGGTTTAAATCGCATCTATTATTTTAAGCTTCATAGTAAGTGTTGATCCTTCAAGTTTGGGCCTGAAAACGCCCCTGATTAGGGGTACGCTAGCTATGGGGTACGCTAGCTATAGTAAAAGACAGGATATGAAAAACAAAAAGGAAACCAATGAAATAACAACAGAAGCCAAAACACTGTATTTTTCAGATTTATATTAATAGAAAATATAATGCTGATTAAACAGCTCCTGTGAAAGGAAAGTCAGACTAAGAAACCAAGCGAGCAGGGGATGGGAGAGAGAAAGACAAAAAGTTAATGAAACCACAGGTTTGCTATTATTTGGTCTTATGGTTCTAAATCAACTTCCAAGTAAATGAATAAGGCGCTGTGAAGACATGAAGAAATTCTGCTCATCGCCAGAGCTACAAACATCATCCACCACCAGCAATGCGCAAGTTGAGGACAGAACCCAGCCAGCCTGACAGCGCGCGTTACTAAGGCTACACTGGTGTTGTTCAGTTAATTTTATTACTGTGAAAATTTAGAAAGCTCAGTTTTAAATCCAAGCTCTTAATTAGCACCAAGATAAAATATTTACCACCAGTGTTTTTGGGTGCTGTATTTTTGGCAATATATTTCATGCCTCATTTGCTACTGGAATTATAAGCTTTTCAATGAGTAACACTGCATTTTCCATGACAAGAAAATCTAATTTTTCTTTAATAGCATGCTGAGGTTATACTGCATCCTACTAAAGCACTGCAATTAGATAAGAGAAAGTTTATTAATGAGTCATGAAAAGGCTTTAGTGTGATAAACGGCACTCCTTCATTCACCAAGATTAAAGGACTTCCAGAGAGCGATGCAGCCGTGCTTGCACAGCGCTGTATTCAGCCTTCCAGCTACTTCCACCCTTTCTCGCAGAACGGCAGTTAAGGCTGAACACAACTGCACGAGCTGGCACAGTCCAGTCAATGCAAGAGATCGCATTCTTGCTCCCAGACTGTCCACCTTAGCCTGGGTGCTTAGGTGTTTGTTCTGTCTCCCGTTTTTCCCTGCTTAACAACTGCTGGGGTTGTCCTCTCTGAACCTGCACAATGCAGCCCTAACAGATACTGAATTTGGCTGAAGACTCGAAGAAGAAAATTAAGCTATTTCTAACCTCATGCAAATCCAGAGCTGTTCTATACTTACCCCAAAGAGCAACGTGATGAAGTACACTGAGAGGTTTTGCTTACTTTAAAACAGCCTTTATATTCACATCTACAGCCTGAGATGCAGTACTCTGAAGTAGCAGCACAGATATTTAAACTAGGCATGAACTCTAAACTTTAACCATTTAATTTCAGCGTAATAAACCACACAAGGCATTTTCTGTCACAGAAGGGGACCAATTAAACATCACCACTTTTCCCCTAAATCAGCACTGTCCATTGATATTTGCTAAGCTTGCTGATCCAGCAATCTTTAAGGCATACAGCAAGATGAATAATACAGATTTGTCAGTTAATAACCACTATAATTCAAGTATGTCACATAGAAGTGTTTTGTTTAGTGAACAATATGCCGTCTAATTACCCTGCTCAATCATAACAGCACATATCAAGAAATACAGAAAGCTTTCTTTCTAAATTACTTTACCAAAGTGCTGTACCACATAGGTTTCAGGAAGTTTGACACTACCACTTAGTTCTCCCCATATACAACAGTTGTATGGATTTTATCAATGAAATGATGAAGCAGCAGGTTTTTTTCTTACTTTTAATACTGACTCTGCGCTCTTGACTGTAGTTGGCAAGCTAAGAGAAGCACCAAACTTGCCTTGCATAACCATGTACCGCAACACGCACCACTACAGCAGAGCACAGATACAGACGCTATACAATAGGGTATGATTCATGGCATGTTTGGGGGTTCTGCTATGAAAACATTCACATTTCAAATACTGACCCCTTACGCGCTTTGAAGACAGTTTTCCTGTCAAACAAGCCAACAAAAGTATTCCCCATTTGCACACAAAAAAAAAAAAAAAAAAAAAAGAAAGTACTTTAAACAGCAGCCTGTTAAAAATGATTTAAATTGCTCTAAAGAACCTCTTGATTCTTTCCTGGCCTTTGGTCTTTTAAAGTAAGTAGGACAGAGAAATTGTTCCTAACCGGAATAGACACCAAGGCATTCAAATGTAAATTACCATTTTGTATTTGAAAGACACTTAGTATTATCCCAGTGACTTTCTAAAATGTCACAATATTTGGTTCCGCAGCACTTAAGCTAAAAGGCAGATTACTTGCAATGAAAGTGTCAAACTCTGCTCCCTATATAATGACATCACACTTTAAAACAATGTGAAGGAAGAATCCTTCCCGTTCCTTTAAGGAAGGGGAAGGCGGGGGGCAGGGAGGGGAGAAAAGAAAAAAGGTAAATCAGGCAAGGAGAATGATAAATAAAACTTTGGAAAGGCAACAGGACTATAATGTTGAAGTGGGCCTTTTCTGCTAGCACCACCAGATAGATCTGCCCCCAGACAGCTCAGCATGGCAAAATCGAGGAGGAGCTGGGAGCCCTGAGTTACAGCCCTGGAGCAAGGTGGCCCCTTGTAACAGCAGACACAAAATCTGTCCGCTCTCTGGCCTTCCCATGCCCTGTGATAAATGCCTGACTGCAGACACGCAGTCCTGTCCCAAAAGGAGCACTCATATTGTTGAGCAATTACGTTTTCCACTGTACAACAAAACCACCACAGTCAACCCTCCCTTCTGACAGTCAGAGAAATAATCCCTTCTTTCTAACAGGAATAGCCTCTCTCTCCATGTGGTTTTTCACAATATACTGCTCTCCTCAGCTATATGGTTTTAAAGGCTTATAACCTAATAGGCAGACATACATGATAATCCGAGATTACAATCGGTATGAAGGCTACTTACCTCGCAGATTTACAATGCAAGCCCTATTGGTTATTTATCTGCAGGGTGTCTGCAGCAGAACTATTTAGGTACAGGCTTTTTTATTCCTTCTATCTCACTAGGAGTAAAATACAGAAGAGAGACACAAACATGGCTCAAAAATCACAGTTAAAATGTTGATCCGCCGCCTTTCAGGAGTTTAGCTTTACTTGTGGTAAATCACCAATAGGTAACTTCCAGGGGAAATAAACTCCTTAAACATATCATTAAATTACAAACATAGATAAATGGCTATTTTAAATGGAAAATTAGGTGGAGAAAATGGTATTTAAAATACAGTGAGCCTCTCTTTACCCAGGGAGCAGGGGCTATAAACCAAAGCTGTATGACCTCACAGACTGAAAAGTATAGTGTAGGAGAAAGAAGAGACTGTCAGCACATGAAAAGCACGCTCTGTATTTATTGCTAATACTTTCTTTATACCTGTTAATGGAAAAGACAAATAATCTGATGATGTTACCTTCCTTCACTGTTTTCTCCTGAACTCTCTCTCGTGGGTTGACAAAATCACTTAGTATGAATTTTACACTACAAGTAAGAAGAGTCCCCTAGTCATTAAAAAAAAACCCTTTTACTTGCAAAGACTAAAAAGCCAACATTATTTTACAGCAGAAGAGGGTAAAGATTTTAATCAGAAACATGGGACCACTTCCAAAGAACAGACTGACACAGACAGCCTGCCATCTCATTAAAAAAAACCCAGTAACCCAAGAGAGAAAGAAAAATCTAGTTCACTAATTAATGAAAAAGTCAGGGCTAATCATGGTCTCTTGGGGGGAAAAAAAAAGGATGAATTTTTACAAAACATTTAAGCTGAATTCCCCACCTTTCACTGGCAGGAGGCTCCTGCAGGCTGCCTCTGCAGTGCACGGCTGCGCACTGGCCTGAGCCTTCCTCCAGACCCAAATGAAAGTACCAAATGAGCAGGTTCAGAGGGAAAACTTGTGGTGCAAAACGCATCCAAATGATCCAAGTGTGGAGGGTACCCAGAAGGGAACCGCACTCCAGGTGCTGGCAGCACTGCATGCCAGTGCCTACATGAGAAATTAAATCCTGGTGGGGCAACAGCTGCTTCAGTGAGCCCAAAACCACAATAATGACTCTTAGCAAGGAGACCTCCCCGTAATCCTCGAGGCCTTCCTGACTGGCTCACCAGGCAAGAGCCATTGCTAGAACATCCTTCTACACACCACCCTCCCCACAATCCCTCTTCTGGGGGCTACACCTTACTCTACAGGCATTCGTTGCATCTTTTTTGCAGTGCTGCAATACCATGGTAACAAACTTGTTTAACTATAAATGCCAAGACTGATGGGCTCAACCTGCCAAAATCCAGCACCATATTCCTGTTGTGAAAACTGATTTAAGTTAACCCTTTTTGAAGGCCATCTGGACAAAGAGAAGGCAACGACACATCCTTTTTTACTCCTTAGCACTGAGCTGCCATAAATAATTATTCTAAGTACTGCAGTTAGTAGCAACAGGACGGAAGAGTCCTGCAAAAAGTGCATTTGTTAAAAGCCTCTGGCTAAAGACCAAGTACTGAATTACTACTGGCTTTCTGCTGCTTTTCTTTACCTTCTTGATCCAGAAGGAGATACCAGCCTAAAGAGGAAAGTACCGTGTCATTACTGAAATGAAAACACTATGACAATTCTCTAAGAGGAGACAAAAAAACCCAAAGCACTCTTAGCATCCTGCACAGAGGCACCAGGCAACAGCATGTCCATTATTTATTCCCATCATCAGTCAGAACAGGTATATGTTGCTACTGGTGGAGAAAAAAAAAGAACATTTGCATTAACTCCTAGTGTTGCCCAACCCTATTCTGAGCCCAGGGTGTCCCAAAATAAAACTGTCTGCTTAAAGGTCAGCTACAAAGATGAACCCCATGTATTTCAAGCTACCCCATAACAAAGAGGGAAAGCCAGAAACTTCCCTTCCACTAGCCACCAGGAACAGATCGTTATTAATAACAGGTGCCACAACGATCTGTCTTTAAGTGGTAGAACAAGACATGGGCAGATCATGAGACAGGAAAGATTAAGAACAGGACAAAATAAAAGCTGGAAGTATGCAGAAAAAGGTTAAAAACATGAGCAAGAAAAGGAAAATTATCTTCAGGTTCTTCTATCACATCCTGTGTTGCAGCACCTGAGCAAAGTCGGAAACGGTTGCACAGGACAGAGTGCAGAGGTTAGGAAATGTTATTATTTCCAAACCTTTTTGTTGGCTCTAATAGAAGAAATACAGGTTTGCGTTCAAAATTAAGAAAAAACTGCATCTCATTAAAAGAGTGCTCACTCCACGTTCTTGTATGCTAACAATAACTTTGACCTACGTCAGTGCCACTTGAATCCAGATCCAGTGGCAGAACAGAGGCTGAAACGCTTCGGCTGTGGCCACCTGCCAAGTACCGTGATGTGTGCCTGGGTTAATTTTCATTTTAAAGCAACTTGCTGAATAACAGACATACAAAATATTAACAAATAAACCTGTTTTAGTCTCTAACCAGGACTGGTAAAATAGTAGAAAACTGAAAAAGGCAAACAGAGCATCAAACCTCCACGGCGCAGTCATTCCAGAGAAACACGGGGGTTTTATCATCTCAAATAAACACATTTAGTGTTTAGATACACTGCTCTGGGCAGATTCAACCGCTACTGATGCAGCTTACCAGTGCTACGACTACCAGAAGACATCAATGTCCAAAGTAGACAGGGGACACGTAAAACACACTTACGAGCTACTGAGAAGTTATTTAAAGGTGATTCCCGCTGGTCGACATCCTGCGGTCGTTCCTTGTAGCCAATGAAGGTGCCATCGTTCTTTAACAGAAAATACCGCGGCCTCCATGTCTTTATGTATTCTCCTGGAAAGAGAGGATGAGCAAAGGGAAAGCTCATCAGAAAATACCCCAAAATACTGACTTGTCAACCATTTTTTTTAAAATATCAAAACCATATCCTGACACAGCAGCAGTTTTAAGAACACTCAGTTCATTCTGACACAAACAGTGGAAAAATACAGGCACTGAGTAAGATATTGCTAGTGATGTTAACCATAAAAATGGGACTTCATAAAAGGTAAACAGCTATGTTTTGTTCTTCCATCTACTCCAATCTCCATTCAAATTCTGCAACATCTGCCTTAAATGCATTTTAAATTTAAAAAAAAAATCAGAGCAGATGTCCTATGTATTATTTTTGCTATTGTCATTTTTCATACTGACAAGTGGAGAAATTTTTTTCATTTACATTTTGCAGTGCAAGTATTTTAAACAACAATGGGTAATTTACTAATTAGTCAACTGCTTTATCAAACCAACAGTCACTTTTAGAACATAAGAAGATAATTCTCCGCTTAAGTTATATAACATCACTCACTCCTCTCACGGCACCTCAAGCATGAAACACAAGATGATATATCACAATATGAAGGGGAAAACACTGGATGATGTATAGCAAGCACAAAGAAGAACGTAAACACCTATTCTGAAAGGCATTCCACCCTCGGCAGAGAAAACATCCCTTGCTCACACCACACTACTGCTCATCTGAGTAACCCGCGCAGGTAACAGTCGCGTGACTGTGTTACAGACGCGTTTGGAACCTCCAGCCGTAGAACAAAAAGAGAAGAGTTGATCAAAAGCTCAGTTATTCACTGGATTTACTCAGTGAGGCTTCAGAGAAGGAAGAGAAGGATTCCACATGTGGCTCTTCTGGGTGACATTGTCCATCTGCTTCAGTTTCCCTCTTTGCTCATTGGCCATGTTGTCATCTTCTCAGGCAGCGCCTCCAGCACCACGTAAAGCTGTTTGAGGTTCCAAGCTGGGCCTCTAGGTCCTTCAGTGCCCTGCACTGATGTTTCTACTCTGCTGAAGCACAAAAGCCTCACTCAAGGTGCTACTCAAATCTGGGTACCGGTGACACTTTTCCAAGCATGCTCACCCCAACAACAACCGGTTTAAGAGAATTTGAAATAAGGAGTGGTGACTACAAAGCCCCCACAGCAGGGTGGCAGCTATACCCTTCTCCCTCTAGTATGGGTTCTCATTTGTTCCTTCAGATCAGGGAGCAGACGAGAAGCCAAGCTTCTTTCAGCTCTGCCGCAGCAGGAGCACGCCCGTGCACCCTGCCCCTGCAGCGGCTGGTACCCAGCGCCCACGGTTTCATCCGCTGGCGAGCTCTTCAAACAACCATCGAGTGCAGTGAGAAGAAAATGCTCCCCAGATTTATTTGCTCTGGTAATCTTCTGCTACTCTCCTGTTCTCCCAGGCTCCGCTCACACCTTCTTTTCCTGCTGCTCAGCTCTCCTCCACCAGTAATTTCTCCCCCAGCAATGTGCACCCTGCCCCAGGAACTCCCCTGCAGCTGTTTTGCCTCCTTCCTCTCCCCACAGACCTCCTCTCCTTCTGCGGTGCAGTTTCAACCAGCTTCGGGCACCAGCTGTGTCACTGCTTCTCCACTCAACTCCCACTTTTCTCTCCCACATGCAGAAGCACGAGCAGTGCCCACGCCACGCAGACACGGGCGCGCACATCCCTAGCCACTACTTTCACCTGTTCAGCCCTCGCTAGGCTTTTAATTTTCTACTCTAAAGCAAAAAACTACGCATTACCGAATGGGAGGAGAGGGTCACAGAGACCCTCTGTGACCTTTCCGAGAGCGGCCACCTCTGCAAAGAGCACCCATTTGCACTGATGAAACAGGGCGCAAAGCAAGAAAGATGAGAGGAAAAGGAACGAGCACAAACCTACCCAGTCTTTTAGAGGCATCTGTCACAGCTGCAAGTGTTACACTAACCTATACGGGGTTTACAGAAATGTCACTGTTGCTCTAGGAACTTCAGAACAACTCACCTATAGCTGTCATGGCTTAACATTTATAAGCAAGGCAGTAAATGTAGAAGGTTTTGTTGTCATCGTATTTTTAATTCTGACCTTAATTAAAAGCTGAAAACTTTCTGGGATCAGTAGGAGATTATGAAGCCTTTCACATTTAAATTACCAGTCCAACTCAGCCTAGATCAGTGAGATTACTCCAATCTCATTACTATGACACCACAGATGTGACTACGGGGACAGGAACATGGCACGCTCGGCCTAGCTGCTGCCGAGAGGTTTGCCAGGTAAGCAGGTCAGGAGGGAGGCTGCCAGCTCTACCACAACTTTGGAATGCACTGTTACATACCTGACTCGGAGGTATTTTCTTCTCTTGTATAAAAGCAGACCCAGGAGCCCTACAAACCATCTTGCGCCCCTTATCACACCTGCATTTAGGACTAAATCCAAATTGGATGGGACAAAAAACATCTGGAGAGGCAAGACAGAGTTTCCATTTCCCATACTCCCTCGTCTATGCTATGTATCTTCCCCATTAGTACCCACAGTGGAGACATGTATTTTTGCAAATGCTGAAATTATTATCTGGCTATTTTCACTGAAGTATGCATAATTTCACCAAAAAATCACACTGTACTGTCACAAGAGACTCTTCCTCTTAGATTAGATGCTTATGTTTGGCTCTCATACTTTCTTACAGCTTTATTCCACCAACCTGTTTCTCTGTAAAAAACTCATAATTTAACAGGATTAATCACATAGGCTTTAAAATGGTGTATTCCATACATATATAGCATCCTCCTCCACACTCACTTTCCTTCTTCACTCCTTCTGTGTGAGAAATCAAGGATTTCATTACTGCCAGGCATTTTGCAAGGACCATTCTACTTGTGCCTTCCCTTATCGACTGCTTTAGCTGGTTCTGGTTCCTGATTCACCTTCTTAATTTCAAAATAAGTAACATGATTTTAAACTTCTTTTTCCACATGTGTGGAGCTTAATGAATCCTGTAATATGGCAAGCATACATATTATTGACTACTGCTCTTGCCAAGGCCAGTATGAGGCACACTGCAGCATCTGTGGTCTAAATCTTACTCTAACACACTGAGGTTATACGTCTGCATCTTGCAGCGAAGTGGCAAGACGTTGAATCTTTAAGTAAAATGTTACACTCAATGAGCAATTTATAGTTCCTCTACAGAAGTTCTGAAACACGGTTGCCAACAGAGCCAGCGAGAAAAGGTACAAAGTGCACATTCTTAAAAAATCACGTTTATATTTTTATGATTAGCAAGAACACCGTAAGCTTCCTACAGCCTGTGAGGATCACAGTGATCACAACAGCAGATCCAAGTATTTTAGGCAGAAAAGGAGTTTGTCAATACAGACAAAACATAATTATGTGGAACTGCTGGGACAAAACTGACTGAAAAACATCAACACCTTTTCCTTCCTCTGAAACACTTGGTTAGCTGTCATGCCTGCAGAGTGAACTGAGCTGTTTTCATTTTTGCCCTGTGTTTTTTGTTCCTGTTGCGGTTTTGTTTTTAAGAATCATAAGCAAGAAGTTACCTGAAGTCACTAAGATTAGCAGTTACGTAGTCACACTAGAAGAACTGTACCGCATACAGTAAATGCAAGCGTGTGTGGCAAATTCTATCAGACAACACTAAAAAAAAAAAAAAAAAAATCCACCACGGAAAAGTGAACAATTTACAAAGCAAAACATTTTTTCCTCTGTGATTCACTGCTTGTGTAATGCCCTGGCAGAGCCTTCTTTGTTTTCAGTAACAGAATGCTAACACTGCAGAGACAGGAAAGCAAAAGCATGGGTTATAAATCCTACATATAAAATCCTGGAACAAAATAGACTCCTCTGTAGCTTGCTAGCTTTATTACTTAAAATCTTTATGTACCATTCTGTTTACTCCAAGCAATTTCCAAATTGCAAAGATTCCCAAACTGTATATATCTGGAAATATACACGAAGATTGTTACAGACCGATTTCGCTTTATTGCCTTGTGTCTGCCCCCACACACTGCACATTAAAATACTTAACACACACTTCGAATGTAAATCCATCTCATGCCAGAAAAGCTTTTCCAGAGTAACACGTACTGCAAAGCACGCTCACGCCTGAATATTTCAGAAAAAGTTAAACACAAAACTCTCTCGGTTCATGAAAAGTTAATTCTACTGAGGATTTACAATAATGCAGGGTTAGGTTATTTTCCTCTCCTCCCCACCACAGTATCTCATCGAATCTGGAGCTGTCTACCACTGATAGAGTGTCTAACATCAGAAACAGCTGCCACTCCCTGGGAAGCTCACGGGGTAAGTGGAGAATAATGAGCAGCAAGCACCAGTAGAACAAAAGAAAATCCATCTTTATTTACCAACTGCTGCATGCTTGTTGCTGCATCAACCTCATTCAGAGCCAACACCACACCCTTTAATTCAGAACAGACTATATTTAAGAAGCCTCTGCTTTTTTTTTTTTAATCAACTCATACATACCAATGCTTTGAAAAAAAAAAAATCATTAGGTTAATCAAGTCAGCATCCAGCGATACCCTTGCTATTTACAAAAGCAGTGGACCCACTATTAACTTTCTTCTGCCCCAGAGTAACGAGAACAAGCCCAGGGCACTGACTGAAAACAAGGTGTCAGTTATATAAAAAGCACTCAAGTGGCTACCACAAATCTGTGGATAAATAATGCATTAAACTTTCTGCTCTGAGCATCAGAAGTAGCACCATTAATTACAATTAAGGTTAACATGCAAAATATTAGAGCTTCTGCATTACGCGAGCCTTCTCTACACTCCCACACGCCGCGAAGACATACAACGTCCCTTGACTGTACGGCCCTGACCTGTCCGAGGTGGACACGAAAGCTACGGCAACAGCAGTGCTGATGTGCGCACCGGCCAAGGGCGGCATGATTCGTTTCTGAGACTCCAGCGGCTGGAGAAGTGGTCTGCACCCTCTTGGCCTAATAAGGCTTCGGCCAAACAGATGCCA